CTTGTTATGCATTGTACGTACAATCTGATTGATAAGAACAAACTGACATGTATTTCACCAACTCTCAGGAAACTTGAGATTCAGTATGTGTCCTCAGCCCATTATCAAAGCTGAGCTTTAGTCTGCGCTCCGAATTTGTCCTCACAAGGCCATACTGTTGGGGAGCCCTCTTTCCCTTTTTCAGACAGACTACCTGTCGGCGGTGAGAATCACAGACTCATCCCTTTCACTTCACGGAACAGCCTTGGGTCTGGAGCGGGACTGGTAGACTCCAGTCCATCTATGCCAAAATCTGTCCAGCTTTTCTGGTTTTACTCGAAGCACTGGTGCACAAACTTAGCTGAAAAAGACTAGCCCAGGACCTGCGGTTCAGCGCCTTGATGAGAGGAGCCTGCTGAACTGGCCTATACAGGGTTTGTGAAACCGGAGGACTTGAGAAGAGGGAAACTGTCTCTAAAAATGGCGTCTTTCCTTTGCCAGGTTTATAGGCGAAATATGCTGTTATACAGCAGTCTGTAAGTAGTGTACATTATGGGGTGCGTAACGGACTATGTATATGAAACCGTGTGTTTTCTTTCTTTCTTTCTTTTTTCCTGCACGTTTAGCTAACAGTTCAACTCACTTACTGCAAAACGGGGAGGGACGGGGAGGGCAAAATAACATTGTGTCTAAAGCGTAACATTCACTTGAACTTTTTTATGAGATAAACACTGAACTCATGTACTCGCCCAACATCCGCCATTTTACTGCTACCCTGTAGAGAAATGACCCCTGAACTTTAACCTGAAAGGCATGTTGACGGTCTTTAATCCTGCACCTGTGAGGAAAATGTTTTTTATTTCTCTGTTTTTATGCTATGTGAAAGAGGAGTTTTTGAAGCTCTCTCTCATGGAATTAATGCGTTCATTGCATTTGTTATGACAAATAACAAATCAAAAGGGGTTAGAATGGTTTGAAAGTTTGGTATGTGACATGTACAAGTTTGATTTTGACATTAAAACACCTTTAAACCGTGTTCTGCTTCCTTTTTCACGCTTGAACTTACGGTTTGATTCATTTTTGTGCATATATTTGTGCATATTAGTGAACGTAGTGATAAGGATGTTTCTTTTGCAAGCCTGCACCCTGCTGGTAAAAGAGAAAATTACATTCCCTGCACACTTCCCATCAGCTGAGTCTCCTCATAGTAAATTGTGTATTTGAAAAAAAAAAAAAACTTTTTGATCTCTTATTTTTACACTTTTCACTTCTCGATTTGTTAAAAAATTATTTGGCCCTAAATAGTAAAATAAAAAGGAGTCAATAGTTCAGAATCTTGTTTTGCCAATCAGAAAGCTTTTCTGCCTACCAATCATTTAGCACAGTCACAGCAGGTAGACCATCTAGCAAGCCAGAGGCTACAATCGTGAACTAGTTTTAATTCGTTTGGAAGTTGCGAAATGTTTGCTGTCATCAACGGCTTACACAGCCAAAATGTCCTTAAAGAATTGGAAGATAGTTGAAATAAAGTGGCCAAAAAAGAAGCTAAGAGTGAACGTAGGTAAAACTTTTCATCACTGGAGGGAAGCTGAGAAATGTACTTGAAAACAGATTCAGAGTTTGCTTTGCTTCTGCTCGACAGAGTTTTGGCTTACAAAAATTCTCTCATCCCTGCAGAACTCTATTTCTTAAAGGTATAGTTCACCTAAAAATGAACATTCTGTCATCAATTACTTACCCTAATGCTGTTCCAAACCTTTATGAGTTGCTTTCTTCTACTGAACACAGAACAAGTTATTTTGAAGTTGACAGTTTTGATACAGTTGATGGTGGACATTTACTTCCATAGTATGGAAAAAAAAATACTATGGAAACCAATGGCTACCGTCCACTGCTAACAACATTCTAGTTCAACAGAAGAACACATACAGGTTTGGTACAAAATGTAAACGATGGTAAAATGTTCATTTTTGGGTGAACTATCCCTTTAAGGTGCAATCACATTAACTATGATTCAGAGAATTTCCACTGGCAAAATCCAGTCCTTTCAATAGGAATCCAGCGATCAGGAATTTCACATGAGGGAAAAAGTTTTGGTCATACGAATATGCCATGCTGACCAACAGAAGCTGCTTAGTTTGAAAGTGACCTCTGTCAGCTGAGCTGTGCTACATACATCACTGCAGTATTGATAATTGACTTTTTTGGCCATGAAATTTCACTAATTTGACTGCACTTTTACAACATTTTAACTTCATTATTTGCATATTTACGAGCTAAATAAATTGAATTGGACAAGGACCACACTCAACTTGTTTTTTTAACAAATGTTTGTCAGTTACTTTGCCAGATAACTATGCTAGTTGCAATTTGTTACATTTTAACTGCATCATCAGATGCTGAAACTAAACACAGCATGTGCACGTTTCGACTGTACAAAGTACATAAATATTTAATGAGCCAACCACTATTTATTTCAGTGTAGTTTATGATAAGATATTAGATGCCAGACAACTAGCTGTTATGTCCGGTTTCACATTGTATCCTTTGGCATCGCATTTCAGGGTTTGCACTAAAAAAGTTTTTCTATCAAAACTATATGCAGATATTTTTTTCTTACTGTTAATATATATTTTGAAGAGTTTTTATTTTAAAATTTCCACAGAGCCCCTAGCACCCCAGTTAAAAATCACATGGTCTTTACTAAAGTTATACCAAGGTACTGGCTGATGTAATAGAATATCTAACATTTTGAGGAACTTGCCTGAATTAAAATCGAGGAACTTGCACCTGAAGGCAGTTTCAATGAGCCAGAGTTCTTTGAAAAACAGAGCTGCTTGAGGAGCACGATGTTTTTCAAGGATTCCTTCGTCCCAGTGGAATATAGAAATGCTGCTCTAGTTATGGAAACAGCACACTTACTTTTGACATTTTTATACTTCTCCACTATTTTCAGTTTCCCCTTCATTTCCGGTAGCTCCAGTCCAGCATGTTAACAATTTGTTCGGTCTGTGAATAGTCTGAGCAATCTGGAAACATGCCTAAAGTTGAATGAATATCAGACCAATCATGCAAGTTTCGCAGCTTTAAATGAATACATATATTTGGTCATTTTTTCTTGGCTTATAAATAGTACACTTGTGTACTGCTTGCTAATGCATTGGTAAATTTCCACATACTTAGATCCACATTGGGGCCCATCGTGGACTCATGATGTGTTGACACTTTGAAGCATATTAAATCTAGCGCATTCTACAAGACGAATGCTTGTGGCCTTGTACACATTTAAATACTTTAAGATTTATTTAAAGATAATAATAGGAATACCAGTGTGTGTGTGTGTGTGTTTGTGTGTGTGTGTGTGTAAGGTCCAAATACATGGCATTACACCATCATATGAAGGCAATACACTGCAGGCAAACACATTGAGTAAAACACTTTAGATTAGGGAACACTATTCACTATTTACTAGTTGCATGTTAGCATTCATATTACAAGCATATTGGCTGTTTATTAGCATTTATAAAACACATATTAATGTCTCATTCTGCATGACCATATTCTAGATCACTTAACCCGACCCCATACCTAAACATAATAACTACTACAACAACTACCTAACTTACTATCAATAAGCAGCAAATTAGGAGTTTATTAAGGAAAAACATGGTGATTTTTTTTCTGCCTGTTGACAGTATTTTCTGTTTTATGAAGTGATAGAAATATCCATAATGAAAGTATTTTTAACTCGGCTTTATTAAATGTTCAGATTTCTGTTCTGGAAATGCATGCAAAGTAGTGCATATTTAATTATTTTTTAATTATTTTAATTAGCTTATTTGTATATTTCAAATTAGCATTTCAGATAACTTGTAATACAAAAATGCTTGCAATTCTTAATGCAGTCAATAAATTGAGGAAGTATGATGATATCTATTACTTACATTTTTATCAGCTGGCCGGCCTTGGCATGTGTTTCCCTGACCCTGTGATGTTCATTACAATTTGACAGTGTTAAAAACTGATGAAGTTGACAAAAACTGACAGAGTTGACAAAGGTCAAACTGAGGTAACAGCAACCGATTGACAAGACAACAGATTAAGACAACTAACTAATTTTTAAATTAACATTTAATTTAATACAACAATCATTGCGTTGGATGTCTTATTAGGTCTCCAGTAGCTCATGAAATACAAGAAGCTTATGTTAGGTTCAGTGTAATGGTAGCATTATTATGTGTTGCCTTGTAGCAGCAGCAAAGACTATACAGGTGCATCTCAATAAATTAGAATGTCATGGAAAAGTTCATTTATTTCAGTAATTCAACTCAAATTGTGAAACTTGTGTATTAAATAAATTCAATGCACCATTGGATGTCTTATTAGGTCTCCAGTAGCTCATGAAATACAAGAAGCTTATGTTAGGTTCAGTGTAATGGTAGCATTATTATGTGTTGCCTTGTAGCAGCAGCAAAGACTATACAGGTGCATCTCAATAAATTAGAATGTCATGGAAAAGTTCATTTATTTCAGTAATTCAACTCAAATTGTGAAACTTGTGTATTAAATAAATTCAATGCACACAGACTGAAGTAGTTTAAGTCTTTGGTTCTTTTAATTGTGATGATTTTGATCTTCATGGAACATGATCTTTACTTAATATCCTAATAAATTTAGAAATAAAAGAAATATTTATAATTTTGACTCATACAATAATTTTTTGGCTATTGCTAAAAATATACCCAAGACGGGTTTTGTGGTCCAGGGTCACAAATGTGCTGAAAATTTACTCATCCACAGGCCAGCCAAGATGCAGATGAGTTTGTTTCTTCATCGGAACAGATTTGGATAAATTTAGCGTTATATCACCTGCTCACCAATGCATCCTCTGCAGTGAATGGGTGCCGTCATTTTAACTTTAAACCATTGCTTCTGGCCAAAATATGAGTCTATAATCCATAAAAACGCTTCCTGGAGAAAACAGTATTTTAGATAGAGGGCTCATATTTTAACTGGAAGCAACAGTTTAAAGTTAAACTGATTCATCACCAAGACGTTTTTATTCCAAGCACACAGCTTTTTGTTTCACAAGACATTCTGACAGCACCCATTCACTGCAGATGATCCATTGGTAAGCAAGTGATGTAATGCTAAATTTCTCCAAATCTGTTCTTATGAAGAAACAAACTCATCTCCATCTCGGATGGCCTGAGGTTGAGTATTTCTTTAATGCTGCAGTATTGCTCCAACTCTGTATCCCTGTGTTGTCTGTGCATGCGTGTACATTAGTGTTTGCCCCAGCTGTTGGGAATAATACCTGCAAGGCCAGCTTCTGGGATGCCCGCTACGGTGGGCTTTGTCGTAGACACACAGCACGCACTGACACTGCAGCTCAACAGTACCTCTGCACACTTGGAGCCATGCAAGTGAGTTATGTATCGATAAGTGACAGTTTTAGACCAAGACATCTTCACCTTGTTTATTTCCTTGGGCAATTGCTATCAAGGAAAGGCATCATTGTCAGACAATTGATTTGTTGTATCAGAGTTCACTTCCACTTTGGGGAGCAGGGGAACTATTCTCTGTGGGTCAAGAACCTGAATGAGCCGTCACGGGTCAGCTGCTCTATGATCACTGATTCTGAGCCCATTAACAGCTACTTGCGTGAGTCAACCTTACATCTGCACACTGCAATTCAGCATTTTTAATTTTTTTTGTATGTTAAATTTGTTAAAAGTTACATTTTGTTTATAAAGCATCATTTAATCCTGGAGGAAAAAAACAACAACAACGGGTAAATAATGTATTAAACTAAATTGAGCTGGGTGACTTTTTTTTTCTTTTTGTTTTTCCAGCTATTTTGTTTGCCTTTCTGGTATTTGCTTTTTTGGCTGCATTATCTGCTATCTGGAACACAGTTAAAAGGTAAAGACCCCTTTAAATATCTTTTTGACCATGTACTGATGACATTTAAACAAGCTAGAACAGCTTGTTGCAGCTGTTTTATTTAGAAAGCTTGTAAAATTGAGTTCTTCCACTTTTAAGGCTGAATGTGGTGACAAATCTACTTCTTTGCTTGGGGAGCACAGTGGAGACAGAGAGGCTGATAAACTCTGTAAGAGTGCAATTCACTCATTTTATACTTTTTTTTGCACTTTTAATATTGTCTGTGCATGGTTTTGTAATCTTTAAAAAAGAAATACAAACCACCAAATATG